GCCTTTAGAGAATTACGTATTGAACATGGAACTTAATATAAATTAGATAAGGTCAAGCTTTGTTTTGGCTTGAAGAACCCCCATCATTTGCATTGTTTCGATAATATCCAACAACTAAATCCCAACGAGCATGTATTATGACAAGCTTATATTGTATGTCCATGGATTGATAAACTATTTTTAACTTCGTATATGGCATGGCCACTCAACTTGCTCTAACATGTTTGTTGTATGGTGGGGGTGGTTAGGTCTCGTTTGGTCTAGATTTGAGTTTTGCATTTGTAAATGCGGAACAAAATCCTTATCGATCAATTAATTATTGTACTAATACATGTCACACAAGCATCACAACATTTATGTTGGATTCAAAGTTTAGGATTGTCTAATGCTTACTCGTCAACTAGCAAAGTAATAAGATGTAACGATACCTAAATAAAACAACATCGATCCAATGATCATTCTCAAATAACAAAGTTTGGGGTTTGCACACACTATCACATATGCGTTATAACATTTTTGCTAGATTTAAAGTATTGAAAAAGTTACCATGGTTACAACAAGCTTCAATTTACATTTCATAAAATCAAGTTTCAAAATTATTGTCAAACTTATTTCAAACCTATAGCATTACAACCACAATGACAAACATATATCAAAAAAAATTATTAAAAAAACATATTCTACTCCTAAACGAGCATTAAATTATCACAAATCAACTTAAAATCTTCAATCTCTAGTAGTAGCAACTCTTTATCCTCTTGTTTTTTTCTAATTGTAAGCATTATTCTCAACTTTAATAGCCTCCATTTCAATCAACAATTCTTCATTCTCATTCTTGATGTACAAATTCTCACTTTTTTACTTAGAAATCACTTCATTCAATCTCAAATTCCCCGAAACGAACATGCAATTCACTCGCATATATTTCTTTTTTCAATTTCGCAAGCCCAAACTAATCTCTTTGGCTCTGTAATCTAAATCATCCTTAAACCATAATTTAAAATTACAGCCAACATCTTTTCTTCCTTTTGCATTGAATCATAGTGGGCAAACATTAAATCTAACACCCGGGTGTTCATCTCTCTAAGACAATACTTCATTATTTTCATCCCATATAAATACAAAATTGATGGTTTTCATACTATGGCTATAATTTATGATCACCAAGTACATATATCAATAATTATGATACATCCGAACGTCTAGACGATGAAGATGATGTGGATGAAGTGGTCATGTCTTCTTGGATTATGAGAAGACACTCCAAAAATAGGGATTTGAGATTTATAGATGTAAGATTTTAACTAAAAACATAATTTATGTAGGGTTAGTGGGAGAATTCGAGATTTTGAGATTTAAGGATTCAATAACAAAATTAGGTTAACGAGATTTAAGGTTGTTTAGGGATTTTGAAAGATAAAAAATGAGAAAATCGGGGCAATTGAGATTGCCGTAACAATGGAGAAGAAGAGAAGAGTTGTAATTTAAGGATTTTGAAATAAAGATAATGAGAGAATCGAGCCAATCAAATTGCCGTAACAATGAAGAAAAAGAGAAGAGTTGAAATTTAGGGATTTTGAAATAAAGAAAATGAGAAAATCGAGGCAATTGATATTGCTAGAACAATGGAAAAGAAAAGAAGAGTTGGAATTAAGGGATTTTGAACCAAAGACAATGAGAGATTTAAGGTAGATTGCCGTAATAATGGAGAAGAAAAGAAGTTTGGAATTTAGGAATTCCGAAACAACTTAAAAATGGAGAAGAAAAGAATAGTTGAGTGGTATAATATGTCGGGAGGTATTTTTGTCTTTTTTATTTTCATTTTTATAAACTAAAAATTTGTTAATATATAATTTTCAAAAATTTATAAGTTTTTTGTTTTAAATTTATAATCTCATAATTGCGATTACAATTTTTACGTGTCGATTCTTGATTGGCTACCATAATTTTTAAAACACTACGTCAAATTCACGGTTAACGAGATGATCTCAATATTCAAATTTGTAATAATAGAGAGTTTCAATCAATCTTAAAAATAACGAAGGTCTTAATAAAAAAAATATAACTATAAAAAGACTAATTATGGGATAAACCCAAAAACAAACAAACATCAAACTAATGAATAATCAAATCTATTTATAGACTTAAAAATTAGAAAGAAAATTGAAAGAGACATAGGTAAATAGAATCAAACTAATTTTTTACCCGTACTACGTTGTGGGTTTTGACAAAATTTATAAAATTTTATTTTAAAAAATAATTTTAATTTAATTGTATGCGCTATATTGTTGGCTACTAAAATATATTAAATAGAAGGTAAAAACAAAAGCATTATTTTTTTAAAAAATTCTATGTTTAACAAAATATTTATTATGTTTATAAATTTTCTCGCTAAAAAAACATAATTTATTCTTTTATATTCAAATTTTTAATCGATAACTTGTAATAAAAATTATAAAATTCATGGACTCTTAATTAAAAACATTTCTTATAATTCTTTTTCAAAAAAATCTTAAGACAAATTATGTAAAAAATACTTTTAATCTTTAGATTATATATATATATATATATATATATATATATATATATATATATATATATATATATATCGAAATAAAAAAATTCTTCATATAAATTATATTAAATTTTTTTAAAAGAACAAATAACAATATTCAAAAAGATCATTAAAAAATTCATATATAGATTTCTCTCTTTTCCCTCATCTCTCTTTGTTTCTCTCTCCTCTCAGCAATTAGTAAACCGATTACAATACAAATAAAGTTGTAAATCCAAATAAAAATTGTTAAAAAAACAGGGATCAAAAAATAATGTAACAAATCTTTACGTATAGAATGTCTAAAAAAAAGTTCAAAAATAGTAATTAGGGGTGAATAGCAATGTGGGTAGAATAAATGCATAAAAAACTTAAAATAACAAAAATGCTATGAATGTTTGAAGAGTCTAAAAATAATAAAAACCCCATCTCTTTCTTTTAGGATTCTTTGTAATTTTTTTTTTTTTGCTAAAATATATCAAGAATTCATAAGATTGAAAAAAATTAATTACACCATACAAATTAGGAATTATTTCTTTTACTTATCTACTAAAGAAAATAATCCTTAATTTGTATGGAATCAATCCAACCAACTCTTTTCTTCTCTCGTTTTTTTTTTTTTTTTGGACCGAGTCACACTAAGCCCAACCCAAAAACACAAACAAAAATCTTTCTTTGTTTTTTTTCCGATCAAACTCAATCTTGTTTTTCTTTTTTCCTCTTCCTTGTCAAATAGCTCTCTCTCTCTCTCTTTTACTTCTTTTTCCTTCTTCTTCTTCCTCTCTCTCTATGCCTTCCATGGACAAACCGGTAATGGTTTGTCCCTCTTTCTTCTTTTTTTTTTTTCTTCTTCTTATTCCTCTCTTGGCCTTATCTCTCTCTTTTTCTCTTCTTCGCCTAATCCATGGAAGAAACGAACTAGAGATTTTTGATTCGTTCTCTCCTCTTTTCTCTCTCAATCCTTCTTTCTCGCTCACTCTACTAATCTCCAATTAGATCAAAATCCTAAATTGAAATTTTTTTCCAAATTGGCCGAACCCTAAGTTTTTTATTTTTGATTTTTTTTTCTTTTAAATGACCTCTTATCTATGATTGTTTTGGTTCCCACCCGTTTGATGGTGTGGGTTATTGTGTTTATAAGTTTTGATTGTGTTTAAAATTTTTGTTTTGAAATTTTTTTTTTTGCGGTGCTTTTATTGTTAGATCTTAGATTGAAAGGTGTGAATTTTGTTTGCTTTAATGTAATTCTTTTTAGAATATTTTGATCAAAATACGTTTATAGGTTTCATTTTGCATGTCATTTCTTTATGTAGTGATGTTGCTTTGATTTGTTAATTTATTCAAGTGGGGGTGATTTGGGATAAACGTATTTGACTTAGATAGCCAAAAAAAAAAAAAAAAACCTTACTGTTTACAGAAAACTTGATTTATTAAAGTTTTGCGGCTTATGTGCTGTTAATTTCATAGTTAGCTCTTGTTTATTTGTGTTCTTCTTTGTTGGTGTTTGAGATTCTTGATTTCGAACTTGGGGTAGGAATTTACCTATAGAGCTTGACTTGATCTATTGCCTTGTACTTAATCATCAGTTGTTGATTTTTTAAGGTTTAAAAGTGGAAAACATTTCAGAGTGAGCTTTTTGTTCGATTACTAACTTTTTGCATCTAATTCAACTTGAATTTTCTTTCGTGGGTTTTGGTTTTAGTTTTGTTACTGCACATTGTGGAGAATAAATGAATGAATAGCATGTGTGTTTTGATGCAATTTAAATCTATCAGTTGCGATTTCAAACATTTTCTGACTACAGCCGGTTTGTTCAGTTCCATTGAAGTTCCAGAGTAAGACAGAATAATATATTCTTGTCTACCAAATGGCTTCTGTGGGTGTGGCATCTACTTCGGGTTTGAAATAGTTTAGTGATTTTCAAGAAAAAATAGCAGAAAATATGACTGGAGAAGGAGAGAAATTAAGAGAAGGTTAAAGAGGTAAAAAGAGAGTAAAAATAGTAGTGGTAGCATTGTAATTAGAGAAGCAAAGGAGGGTGTAAAATTAAAAAAAAAACATTATTGTATGAACATGATTGTCTATAGTATTTTATGTGGAGGTAAACAATGCATGAACAACTTCACCCTTGTATCTTTTAAATTCTTTTATAATATACTACTCTTTTTATTTTTATAGTAAATAGTGAATTGAATTCTATCGGAATATTACAAGCGATGATGTAAAATAAATATTAATATTGATACGTACATTTATTTTTTGATGACATCTTCTTCGTTGATCTTATGAACTGGGGCGGCAGCGGCACTGTCTACGGGGATTCTTATTTAATTCTGAGTCCCATCGAATATATTCAGAACTTCCTCTCTATTTAAAGCCGAAACTGAAACGCATTCTGGCCTCTCAATCACAAACATCAACAACTGTACCACCGCTGTCTCCGACCATGTCAGCCCATCCTAAAAGGAACAGCATAGGTTACGCACTGCCACCCAAAAAAATCAAAACGTTCATCCAACCCTCACTCATCCAGCAGGCAAAGGAACACAACATTGAACTCATCCCCATCGATCCTTCGAAACCCCTGATCGAACAAGGACCCTTTGATTGCATCATCCACAAAATTTACGGCCCAGATTGGAAGTCCCAACTCCAGCACTTCTCCTCTCAAAATCCTAATGTCCCTATCATTGATTCGCTTGATTCCATCCAGAGACTCCACAATCGGGTTTCGATGATCCAAGTTGTAAGTAACCTAAAACTTCCACAAAGAGATCAAGTTTTAGATGTGCCAAAACAACATGTTTCTGATTTACAACAAACTTTGAACAGTAATGATGAGTTGATTAGGGATTTAGGGTTTCCACTGATTGCCAAACCGTTAATGGCTAATGGGGGTGCCACCTCGCATAAAATGTATTTAGTTTTTGATAAGGAAGGATTAGACAAGTTAGAGACACCGATTATTTTGCAAGAATTTGTTAATCATGGTGGGGTTATTTTTAAAGCCTATGTGGCTGGTGATTATGTGAAATGTGTCAAGAGGAAATCGTTACCGGATTTAAAAGAGGGCAAATCGGTGACTTTGAAGGGTTTGCTACCGTTTTCGCAAATATCAAATTTGAGCGTCGAGGAGAATAGTGGGTTTGAGAGTGTGGAAATGCCGCCAGTGGATTTTGTTGAGGAAGTAGCCAAGGCGATTAAGGAGGAAACAGGGATTAATTTGTTTAATTTTGATGTGATTAGGGATGCTAGAGATGCACATAGGTATCTTGTTATTGATATAAACTATTTTCCTGGGTATGAGAAGATTCCAAATTATGAGTCAGTGTTCACGGGTTTTTTATTAAATGTTGTGGGAAAGAACAAGAGTGGAGAAGATAGAGAGAATGGGAAGCAAGATCAGCATGGCAAGGGAGAATGATGATTGGCTTTTTCTGATCAACTGGGACTGTTAATAAGTTTTGATGTCGTAGCAGTGGAAGGATTTGGTCCTCTTTTGCATTCTAGAATGCTTGGTATGCAATTTCATGTTTGTTTTATGTTTCTTTCAATCTGTCTAATGTAGCTACTTTTGCTAAATACTTGAAGTTTCTGTATAATCACAAGTTGAGGAAAATCTGTGGCCATATTCGCAAACCTTGTCAATGTATGCAGAAATAATGCAGATATGCCACCCTTCCATAGCTTTTTGCTTTTACTTGCTTTTTTCATGTTTAGATATACTTTGACACTGATGTTTGCAGCAGTTGATGCTATTGCTGTGTGCTTTTCTTTTTATTCTTTAATACTTTGTGTCCCCAAACAATGGTATACCTATTACATAAGGAAGACAGAGTTGATTGTGGGTAACTCTGGATTCCAAATCCCAGCAAAGCAGGTATGTTATAGAGCACTACATTCATTCAATAACGATTCAGGCAAAGCAGAGCAATGCAGCAGTAGAGCTAATAAACTGCTTAACCTTACGCAGAGAGATTAGAATAGATTATTGATGGTAAGCAATCTCTATTTTTCTCGACTCTTCTCTTCTCTTCAATGTGAATTATTATCATAAATTTAATAATATGATTTGATTTTGGGTTATGGTTTTTGGTGCATGCAGTTGTTCTTTTTGCATTTCGAGGATTTGGTTGGGAAAGAAGTGACTATAGAGCTGAAGAATGATTTGCCTATAAGAAGGGCCCTCCACTCTGTGGATCAGTACCCTCAATATCAAGCTCGAGAACATTCGTGTTGTCAATCAAGTCAAGTGTCTTCATATGGTACTCTACTCTCTCTCTCTCTCTCTCTCGTCTTCTTCCTATTCTTTCAAACCCTAATTACATTTCATGTGGTTTTTTTTCTTTTTTCTTTTTATTTTGTGTGCGCGCGCACACACATGTAATATGTCATTGTGCATGTGTCAGTACAATCAAAACCTGCCCAGTTGACCGCTTTGATGCCTAAGTTACCGAGTGTTAGAAAATGAATCAAGCAAGAAAATGGAGCAGAAAGGCAAGAACAATCACACAACACAAAGATTTACATGGTTCCCCCATCCATACCAATCTTCACAACTTAACACTGAGCTTGTAATGTAAGTGACTGAAAATTTGAGATAGGTTTTGTTTCAAGTAATAAAAGTGCTTACCCAATGTTATGTGTCAAAGTACCCTCTTTATAGAGGCTTAACTTGCTCATAATATATAAAGTTGGATTATGAGAGTAGACATGCAGGTTTGAGATTACATGTAAGTCATTTTCTGATTATGATTATACTATCAAAAGCCTTAATGGATCCAAATTCCTATTCTTCTAAAACACTAATTATAATTATTTTACCTAGATCTCCCTTAGCCAAGCTGTTTAAGGTCAGATGTGGGAGTAGCTTCAAAGTCCTTAATTTTACCGAGTTTGGAGCCTCCTAAACTCATCTTGGAAAAGCTGTTTTTCTGGATTTGGATCCCGTCCAGCTCATATGCATTAATGATTAGATTGAATAATTTTGTAGACTATTTAAATAGGTTATCAAACATCCTCTTACTGTCATCTATGTATGGCTAGCTGTTATCCTCTTATTCTCCCTTGAGAAAATTTACTACAAGTCTTCTTTACTTGGAAAGCCCTGCACAGTTAGCACGGTAACTTAGTTCTTGAAGAAAACTTTGAGCTATCCAGTTTCTTGTTTGAGACTTTTACTGAGCTGTGTTGTACATCAGTGCAAGTTGCTCAATCATCTTGTGACTTAAGCTTTCTTTTCTTGGATATCTAGTAGAACAAGCTATTGAGAGCTCAACTATCGTATCCATAGAGTTATGAGCAATTTAGCATCTTGATTCTGAAGAGGCAATTTAGCCATCTTGATTCTGAAGAGCTATTTTTTCACACCATTTATTTTGACCAAATTATCTTTATCTAGTAGCTTGGGTTCAGTCATGTCTTTGGCTATATTGTAGACTGGGTTTTAGGTCATCGATTGGTCTGGTAACTAAACTTTACGAGTAGATCAGTTATCTCATAGCACATGTTGTGATGAAGAAGCTATCCAAGGTACTTAGTAGCTTGGTTTACAAGGTTGTTTGATGTTCTTTTCATCATGCGCCCTACTGAGATATCTTGTAGCTTGATTTTCTCTTTATCAAAGTAACTGGAGTTCATCTCTTTTTCATTTCCATTCAAGAGTTATTATGTGTTTCCACAAATATCTTATGACTTTATCAGAATATCTTGTACTGTAGATTGTGTTGCTTTGTTATTCAAAGCTATCTGGTGGCTCATTCTCAACCCTTATTGAGCTAGCCTGTAGGTCATATCTGATCTCAGTGATGCTATCATGTAGATCACTTGGCTGAAAATTTGATTACTAATTAGTTTTTAGAGAAACAGCAGTTCATAGTGATCAGACTAATCATGACTAGGAAATAAACTTGTTTGGTTGTTCCCTTGGTTGGCAGAAATTTATACTGTGCGTGGAGATGCAAAATAACATGTGCTATTTACAAGGAAGAAAGAAACCAACTCATGCATGAACTTTATGACAGCAGCATACCAGCATATCAACAATGCTGTTGTCATGATCGGAACCTCCGATGATGTTTTATACATGCAAGTTATTGGTGATAAGTTTCACTTCCATTGAATCTTCAAGTTAGCTAACTAGTCCTTGTCATGTATATCTGGCTGCAGTATTTTACCTTGGTGTCAAGTTGATGCAGCTAGGACTGTGAAGGACTTATGTTGGGGTAGGCAATTCATGCCAAGCTCACCTTTGTTTGAGATGAGGCTTCCCCATCTTTCTCTCTCTTGTTGTATCAACAAATTAAGGAGTTTGTGACTGTTTTGTAGTAGTAGAGGTTTTATGTTTGCAAATTGATACAATTTTCAAGAACCACACAGAAATACATATTATATGTTATGCTTGATTTGATGCAATTTCGAAAACCACATATACTGTATATTGCTAATAATCAAAGCTTGATAAGCAGCCAACCTTAGTTGTGGTTATATCGATTTAATGTGCTGACAAATTGTTTTGGCCACCTCCTTGTGCTTATTCATGGCGCTTATCTTATTGATGAGGGATTTAAAATTTTCAGGCAAAGGTGAAGCATTAACAGCTTGTATAACTTGATGCTGTCACTACTTCTCACGACTTTTACAAAAATATTCATTCATTTATCGTATGAAATTGTCATGCGGTATACAAGTGAGGATTGAGAAACTGAGTATTCGCCTTTGCTAGGTGTTCTGCTGCCAAGTCCTCTATATTTATGCGTGTTTGCATTCTTATGAGGCTGTATGCCATTTTTGTTTCATAAATGCGTGAAGATGTGCATCTTTAGGTGATCACACGCACACACAAATGCAGCCAAAGGATGTTTCAGGACTCATCAAACTCTGGTTATTGATGTTATGCTGTGGATAATTTCCCTGGGTTTATTTGCTCTATCTTGTGTTTGCTTCAAGTTATCATGTCCATACTTCATAGTACTTTACCTTTTCCATTTGACAGTCCTGTTTGTTTTTTGGTTTTCATGTGATTGTGCTAGCTGGATCTAATGATTTTGTGTTAAATTTGCAGCTTTCCATCAGGAACTGTTTCATAAGGGGATCGGTGGTGAGTTATGTTCAACCTGCTCCAGACGGTGTGGATGTTGATCTGCTTCATGATGCCATGAGAAGGGAACTCGGGATGGCAGAAAGTCATTTTAATAAATGTTTTCAAGTACTTCTCTGGATATCTGATGAAATTCCTGTTGTTTAAACAAACTCTCGTTCTGAAGTGGTATGTTTGTGCTGGTGACAAGTTCATGAACATAGAAGTACTTCGTAGCAATCTGGAGAAAATGCTATTGGGTTACGCATTGACAATTTCATTGCTTAAAGGTGGTTAATGTGCCAAAGAAGCTGTATGCTTGTACTTTTTGTCTACATTTATTTTCCCGCATGTCTTTTTTGGCAACTAGAATCTTTTAGTCTGCAATTTTTAAAACAAATATGTTACGCCACTGCTTTTGGCAGGGCTGAGCAAGCTAGGAGGCTTCCCTGGACAATCCGATGCCATGGGTTGACATGTTCCATGAAATGAGAGCAACCAGGGACAGGGGGTACAACTTCTGCGGCAGAGATCAGAGATTGATGCTTGATGGTTAATTTTGTTGGTCCAAATTTTCACTTGGAAATTATTAATGTTTACCAGAGTAGTGCTGAAATTGGTTTCTTATGCCAATTTGCATAATGAAGAAGAGGAGAGATATAAACAGCAAAATCTTGGCCTGTTTAGCCGTTCGTAGTTTGGTCAGATGTAACACAGGACGTCTGACAAGTATTTATGTGGATCGAATTAGCCATTTACATATGTTGTTCTTGAAAATTCCAAACTTGACACAGCCAGCGAAATGAAATCTTCTAGCTCAAATAGATAGCCGTGATGTTTGGCCTTTAACATTTCCTGTGAATTGTACATTATAAATGGGATGTTCACTTACTTTGCGGGAGGTTCTCCAGCTGAATCTTTGTTGCTTTTCTTACTAGCTCTACTGTTTTAGGATATGCTGAATGTAAGTAAGAATCTACTTGCTTCATATTTCGTAAGTATAGCTCACTGCCTGTAGCTATAGATATGTTGTTAATGTTGAAGATTTTAGCAACTAATTGGCGTAATCCGGCTAGTACACAGAATCAATTGGAAGGGAAATATAATTGCTCGAAATTGTCACCGATTTTTTCTAGTCCATGATGAAGTAATAATGCATGTAGTTTGCATAATCAAACTTCTATAGACGTGTCATGAACGCTTGTGCAAGTAATAAATAGAGTAGCACCATAGCAAAATTATGGTAACAATTACAAGAACAAAAGGTGGACAAACTATGATCTCTCTAGAAAAACACAAGAACAAGGAACAATTTTTTTTTTTCTGAAAATGAAAAAATAAAAAAACGCACAGAAAAATTATTTTTATACCGTGTATTATGTTATACATACATGAAGGTGCTATAGATGGAGATAATTAAGATTTTCATTTTTTCCATTTGAATGTCTATCTTTTTATTTCTGTTATTTAATTAAGAGTGTGAATTATCAATTTTTTATTTTTTTATTTTTTATTTTTTTTGTAACTTTTATACTATCCTGATCATTAAGTCAGAGATGACGTGATAGATTGATAGGTTAGTCAAAATATGGATTACCTTTTTTATTTATTTATAATTAAGCATCTAAACATTTAATTATCAGCATTGAAGAATTTGAGCTTTTGATCATTGGTTTTGGTTAGATTAATTTAAAGGAAAAAAAAAAAAAAAAAAAAAACTCGAACACTCTGTGCCAACTCTAAGCAGCACCTTCCTAGCAAAACCTCGAACTTGTTTACGCAGTTCCCATGGCTACAAAACAAATCAGACAAGACAAATATATATATAGCATAAGATCTTCCAGGTTGCTTCCGGGTGAGACTAATTAAGACTAATTAGAGGTATATTATTGAATATAAATGTTGATTGGCCGACTCTCTCTCTCTCTCTCTCTTTCTCCTAAGAAGAGAAACTTGAAAGATACGTATCATCACATGCATCATTCTCGTTTGGATCTCACAAGGTTTGTCTTTTTATAGTATCATTTCTTTCCGAATGCTAACTTAATTATTAAAAAAATTTCTAACTTATAAAATAAATTTATTTCATAAATATTCACCAAGTTAGTGAAAACCATTGTATACATGAAATTATCCCACGGCAGGTAGGCTTCTAGAAAATTACAAAATTATCCCAGAGGTTTCTATATATCGATCGAGAGAGAGAGAGAGAGAGAGAGAAGCTTCATTACAATCCCTCTGCTCTAACTTTGACAGCATGGTTGAGGTTTTGCTAGAAGAGTAACCACCTGATGACAACTCAGAGAGTCAACTATATATGTATACAATTTTTAAATATAAATTAGTTATGGCTAAATTGGTTAAACTTTTTCCACTACAAAAAAAAAAAAAAAAATTGATTTTAACGACGGAGAAATCCGTCGCTATTTGCAAATAGCGAAAGAATAGTGATGGACAAAATTTTGTTGCTAATTCACATGTTGCTAAATTTTAGCGATTAAATATTAAGTCCGTCGCTATATTTAGCGACGAAAAATCCTTCACTAAACCCAAAAAATCAATCGCTAAAATTGACTTCGGATGGCTCTCCTTTTAGGTACCTAATCCGTCGCTAATTTTGAAAACAAATTTGTCGCTAATTTTGAAAATAAATCCGTCGCTAATCCGATACTAATTTTCGTCTCTAATCCATCACTAATTTTGATAATAAATCCGTCGCTAATTTTCGTCACTATTCTATCGGTATTTTCAAAAACGAATTTTTTCGCAATTGCTTCGCTTTTTTTTTTTTTGACATTTTTGAATATTATTAATATAATATTTAATAATTAAAATTAATAATAAAAAATCATAAGTAATAATATATATATGAAAAATAAAGTAACATTAACAAAATCATCTTAGAATATTATATTTCATAAAAAAACAACAAAACAAACAAAGTGATCGAATATTACATCACTCATCCTCGCTCGTGTAATCCCATATCCTCATTATCATCCTATGCCGAGTGCTCGCTCGAAGGATCGATTGGAGGCTAAACTGGAGGCCGAGTGGAAGGACCAAGCAGATTGTTGAATGATCGAAGGATTTATAGACAACTCGAATGTCCATGCTAGCCGCATTAGTAAGGATGCCATGGAATCGTATTGAGACTTCATGTTACAAATAATCTCCTTAAGCTCGATAACCTCTTCCTTAGTGGCCTTATAGTCCATTTGAAGTCGTTCGCTAGCCGGATCGATCATGTATTGTGACGTCGCGAGAAGAGGAGCCGTCGCCACTCGAACAAGACACATAATGCACCGATTGTGTGCCGATCCCATAAAATCTTTTCTTCGTTTCCCTAATAGCCTACGGGTATATGGCATTCGGTCTAATTCTAGCTCTAAGATTCCCGCCTCCCTCCGAGCTTCAACTTCCTTATTGATTAGTTGCTCTACACGATCCCGCATTAACAAAATCATAATATCATCGTTACAGTATTAAAATAAATTTGAGAATAAATTTTTATATTTAATACTTGAAATTAAAAAATACTAAACTCGTGTTTGCTGGGAGCGCATATCGATGAATGAACCATCACGTTTCTTATTGAGTCCTCCGGAATAACTCAAAATTCATAGGTGAGCGTCCCAATTCTATTACCTAAAAAAACATTACAAATACTATGACAAGTCTCAAATTGATATGTTATGACATAAGTAAATAATAATAGAGTCTAATTTACCAAGCGATGCGCATGTTCTAGTGAAGATATTGAGCCCCCCATATGTCCGGAAGGACCCGAACCAGGACCATCGGTCTCCGACAATCGATTACGTGATGCTTGCTCTAAACAAGCCACGCGATCGGGTTTCTTGAAATCAACTTGTCATGCATCCCATGCCTCATGACTCATAAATTGAGGTCACTTACACATCAAACCGATCTTGTAAACGAAGTTAGCATAGCGTTTCCCAGCAAGACGCTCCCATGCTCCTCTAACAAATGGATCGATGTCGACATCCCATTCAAAATGTTTCGCACAAGAAAAAAAATTTATATATCTTATTTGATGAGATAATTTTCTTTTTTTGTAATTATAAAGAAAATTATAAATATGTTACCTTAAATTCACTAAAGTAAAAGTCTTTAGTGACGTCAAGGACATCCTTCCATGATGATCCTTTCTTGTCCACCCATTTCTTAAAAATCTCAAAGATCTTCATAGAATAATCTCTACTATCCGAAGTCAATCTATCAAGCAAATAACAAAACGATGAAAAAAATATTTTAAACACAATTATTAATGAAATTATATATTAAAAAAACAAATACATACAATCCGTATTCGACATAATCAATATGCTACCGACAGGATGAGTTGTGAGAACTCTTTAGAGTGTCGGACACGTGTGCCGAGGGGCCACTCTCGAAGCTCGACGGTGGAACCTTTGGTGTAGAAAGAGGAACACCTATCGATGCGGATGTGCTAGCTTCATGAATATGGGAGCTATGGGATCCATGAAGAAAATCCTATCAATGGAGACTCATGATCGATACCGGTAGGGGTCCTAATGGACTACTATTTGACGAGTGATTCCACGATTATCGAAACGTGATCCAATAGCGCCTTTTAAGGGACGATGCAAACCATGATTACCACGAGTCATTGTTATATGATCTACCATGAAACAAAAAAACAAAATACAACAAATATATTATTAGAGTCCATTCATGGTTAAATAAATTAAAATACATCTTTGTTATGGATACAAAACAATTAAAATATACAACAAACATTTACCGAAGGTAGAAAAATCAAAATTAATAAATTAGTAAAGAGAAAAAATTACATAACTTCGTATTAATATAACAAATGAAATATAAATTTAATTCAAACTATCGTAATAATTGTTTAAGTTATCATCTTCATCATCCGAAACATTGTGACATTTATTTCTTCGCCAATCACACCTATTTCTATTTCTACAAATGATCCATTTGGATCATTTAACAAAGTGATGTCCTCGACTTCGTCTATTAATTCATGTCGAATTTTTGGATCATCCTGCTGAAATGGTTCAACATTTTGTTCTATGGTAGCTAATGATTCAAGAAAGTCAAACACGGATCTAGCTTTGATATTACACACGACCCACTAATCTCGATTGTCACGTCTTAAGCTAGGGTACTCCATATCATACACTCGAGCCGATCGAGATGCTACGACAAATGGTTCGTAATTGTTCAAAGTTCTTTTATAGTTAACATCCACAAGTTTGTAGTGTGGATGAACCCTTGTTCCTTATGATGTGGGATCGAACCAATCGCATTTGAACAATACTCGTTCTCTTGATTGGTAATGTAGGATACTCTACTTCAATAATTTTCATCAACATCCCATGATAGTCACTCTCGGTTGAGCTATAATTGCTTCCTTTAATGCATGCACCACTATTAAAAGATCCAATTTTCGAAGATCCCTCAAGTGTGCGGAACCTAAAACCATTAACAAAATAACCATTGTACGTTTGACAATTAGCAATAGACCTTGTGCGAGATCTTTCAAGAACTCGATCTTTCATGTCAATTGCTTGTGCATTTTGTGCTTGTAAGTTAAACATAAAATCACCTCTAATTTTAGTTATCTTTATATTAATGCTATTAACAAACTAAAAATATAAAATGATCATACTTATATATTGATTAAACCAAGAGGCAAACTCATTTTCAATTAGAGCATCGACTTCATTCCGAGACAAGAACGGATTGTTCCGTTGCATTTCGGTAAGAAATCCACTAAAGACAAGAGAATTATTAAAAAACATAAGTTAGTCTCTACTATCTTCCTAATATGAATTATTAATATAATAAATAAGTCAAACTCACTAAATGTAAGATTTGAATTCTTCATAATTCAGCAATATATATTGGTGTGCTGCTTCCGTGTTCTTGTTGTGTCAATTTTCTTATTTTGTATCGACCAATTGATCGACCTAGTCTGCTTGAATATGGATAACATCCCTTCAATATGGTTTTCTTCTTCGTTGTTGAATTCAAAATTACGAGGCATTTTTCGATACCTTGTATCCACATAAGGCTCAAAATAATATGAGAAAAATAGAGAGGCTTCTTTGACCAAATATGCATTGCATATTGATCCTTCCACTTTGGCTTTATTCTTAACATTATTTTTTAGTTTTCGCAGATACTCGCAAATATGAATAATTTTAATGTTTGAAAGTAAGAAATTTATTTAATTTGACTTTTAAATTAAATGTCAATATCTTTCAAATGGATACATCCATGATATTGCATAGGTCCAGCAATAGATGCCTTCATATGGAAGATGAATTGGAAGATGTTCCATGGAGTCAAAAAAGCTGGATGGAAATATACGTTCTAGTTTGCACAAAATGATGGGTATCTCATCATTAAGTCGCAACATATCCTCTTGCTTTATTATTGTAGATGTCAATTGCTTGAAAAATAAACTCAACTCTATAAGTGATTGCTAGACATTTCTCGGTAAAAACTCCCGAAATGCAATTGGAATTAACACTCGCATGAAGATGTGGTAGTCATGACTTTTCATCCCATAAAGTTTGTCATGCTTGCATTTCAACACATCTTGCTAGATTAGACATATATCCATCGAGAATTTGAGTTGTTTAACTCATTCAAGAAATCTTCTTTTTTGTTGTTCCGACGAAGTATATACGACTTTAGGATACTTTCCGGACGCATCATCCATTGCTAATTATAGCCTTTTACGGAAGAGTTTTAAGTCTTCCATGAAGTTGGCAT